TTGGTCCTCTGGTGCCCCATGGTCCATTGCTCTAAGGGATGTATTACCTTAGAATGTGTGGGTGTGTCGTCCTGGATTGAGTGGTCTGGATGTACATCTTGTTAACTATTGAGCTGAGAGCTAGCTCCTGGGGGTGAGTTTTATTCCAGGCACAGAACGTATTCCAGGGCCTTAGTATTGGGGTTTCATCAGACTTCCTCTGACCAGTAATTCAGGTCATTGTTGAATTTTTGGATTTTGTTCCACATTTTTCCTCCCACTGTATTCAGGATCTCCAATTTGACCCTTTCCTGAGTGGTTGGCATTGGTAGCCAGGCACCATCTAGTTCTTCTGGTCTCGTGGGCCATCATGTCCTATGGATGATTGCTTCCAAATAGCCCTTTTTTTCCATTCTTCTTCTTTGCTTCCGACACTAGGAGACCATTAGCTGCATCTTAGATGGTGATTGAAAGCTTTTAAGACCCCAGTCCCTACTCTACTCACCAATGTAGGATGTGGGGCAAGACTTTTATATATTTTGTTGTGCCAATTGAGTCTGGTATCCCCCAGCACTATGGTCCTGAGCCGGTAGATCTACTGGATCTCTCTCCCATAGTAACTGGGTGTCTGTGAGGGATTACTCTGTGTCTGTCTTCTATTGTTTCTGTAATCATTGCAGGTATTTTGTATCACTGGTGTCTGTGTAAGATTAGCCTCAGCTGAATCTATCCTTGGTCTAGAGTATACTCCTGTTCACTGACCCCCATCTGATCTTCTCAGGTGTTTATGTGTTTATCTGTAGCCTAGTGTTTGGTGTTGTTGATAATGCACTATTGTGGCACAATGGTTATTAGCATCTGTCATCTATCTCTTATGTGCACAATTCCATGTCCTCCCATTTCCTAATGTTATCATAGTGGTCACAGTTCCTTTCCGTATATCCCTCCCCTTACCCACTTCAGCGTGTGGGCCCCAACTAGCCCAAAATTAATCCCTCCCCTTCCCTCCCCGTCCCAGTAACCTACAACGTGAGTCCCCTTTCCCAAGCAAACCCTTCTTTGTCTTTTTACAGTAATGGGCTCATACAGTACTTGTCCTTCTGCGATTGACTTATTTCACTCAGCATAATGTCCCAGGAGCATCCATGTTGTGAGATGATTCATGTATCCCTCATTGTTCTTTAATGT